AAGGAAGAAGAAGATAAAATAATCAGAATAGTTTCATTCCATTCTATAGATGCTTTATAGTATATATATATACGGAAGTGAGGGCACATCTGACACAACTAATGACCCACGTGTTCTATAACCAAAATGTAAGTAATACAGTTATACAACTAATTCCGTTAGTGTCGTTAACTAAGCTAGACTAATTGAGATCAGTTGGGTTAATACCCCCAACCCCCTCTCCCTCCCCTCATGCTATCTGTGTTTGCAAACGTACTTGCTTTTCACAATGGCCTTGAATTTTTAAGCCTGTGTGATTCTTTGCCCGCACTACATCAGGTCATGACCTTCATTGAAAGCATCAAATCAGTGTATATTATTGAAGCCACCCTTTGACAGATTACCTGTATCTCACTAATTTGTTAGGAAGTTGCTGACTAATTAAGAGAATTCAAGCCTCACACATTGGTTCAATGGTCGAATAATGTGTGAGACAGAGACAATTCGCGTTCTAAGTTCTGAGTCTTCTTAGTCATTTTTGACGCATATGTTTGAGTCTTCTTAGCCACATAAAACCTGAGCTTCACCAATATATGTGATTCAAGGGTAATTGGGTGTCTCCAAAATCGTGTTGGGGTCATGACAATCCAGGCGAATTCCACTCTTGCGACATGTTGAATGGAATGCTGCTCACTGTCCGGAATATGTTTCTTTTGTGTTGGATTGGATCCCTAGATAGGATAGTGGGGATTTGGTGTTTGGAGGACCAAAAGTTTAAGAAGCTGTATGAAATTGTGTACAGCTATTTTGTCTTCTTCTTGTTGAATGGGCTTGCATTTTGTTGCGATTCATTTGCCTTTTCTATCGTCAGGTGGGTTCTGAGTTACATTGTCTCTCGCTTGTTGGGTTCAATTCATATTGAGTTTCTACACAGTACTACATTTCAATCTTTTTACCATCTCAATTTAATTTCAATCTTTTTAGAATCCTAATTTAATTTTTAGCCCTTACTTTAGCTGAGACCATTTTAAATGGATCAAGTTAAAAATCTAATATATTTCTCAAGTCTATGTAAAATCTTATAAAAATTCATAAAATATAATAATGTTTTTACAAGTATAAGTAAAACTTGAAGAAGCCTTAAAATATAATAAAAAAATTTCAAATTCTTTTCACACTCCACCAATTGATTGTCCGGTCTAGTCGGATCCAAAATCACTAAAATTTTGAAATTAAATCATAACAAAATTCTCTGTAAAATGTCTAATAATAAAAAAAAATTATTATATTTTTAAAATATTGATCAAGTTTCATGTGAAATTCTTATTTTAGACCCAAATTTATATAACCCTCAAACGCGCAAGCGTGATCCACGTCTTCCATATGACCAGTCGAATCAATGTTATCAGAATCGGATCGAATATCGAATCGGGTCAATGATTTACTGGTTCAACCGTTGACTTAACTGGTCGAATCGGTTGTATAATTAAAAAAAAAATTATAAATAAAATAATTTAGGAAAAAAAAAAAAGAGTAATAATACATAAACTTAAAAACTAGATTTTAAAAGTAAACTTGATAATTATAACCATTGATTTTATTGTGGATCCTAATATTTATTGAGACTCACCACTTGTGGTTAATTTTTTATCAAATTTATTTTTTAAGTTTATGTAACATTACTAAAAAAAAAAAAATTAAAACATGTTCTAATGCATACAATTTACCATAAACTTAATAAAATTAAGCATAAAAATCTTGGTTTTACTTTGATTAACAACGTTCCATTCACTTAATGCTTGGCATAAAAAAATAAAAAGTCAATAAAATTAACAATAAAAAAGACATCAATTACCGAGATCAAAACCTGAGCTGTAAACCATTTACAAAACAGTAACGTTAGACGGATCAAATTTTATGATTAAATTTAAAATTTAAATAACATGGTAAGTAATTATTTGAAATTTTTATTGGGACCTAAATAATATGACACCGATCAATGAATTGTTATGTTATTTAGATTCTAAATTTAATCCCAAAATTTGATCAGTCTAGCATTACTCTTTACAAAAAAAAATGATTTAACCGAGAAGTTTTAATCGGCTGAGAGAGGGAGAGAGAGAGGAGTTGCATAGCACTTAGACAAAGAACCGAGATTTGTTCGTGGATCACAGAGAGAGAGAGTAGAGAAAAAGGAGGAGTTGCTCCAAGCCAAGGTTTGCTTGTGGACGAGACTAGTCACCAGGCGATCGCGTGAAAGAAGGAGCAGAGGGAGATCGACTGGACCAAACCAATGACCAGATCTGCAGATCCACGACATTTTCTTCGTCATTGCACAATTCACCAAGTTCTCGAGATTTTTACTAAGTTACTACCGATGGTTACGCACACTCCTCGGGTAAAGTAGGCATGTGCATAGTTCCTTACCGGAATTATTCATGCGCTTTTTAATGGCGTCTCAATCGTCTCCATTACGGGTCAAAGACCTTCCGGTACTGTTGTTTTTCAAGAACCTGGTGATAGGACTGTAAATTTTTGACGCTACACAAATCGAATATAAAATTAAAAAAATTTAAAACGCGGTAACACAATTAAACACAAAAAAAAAAAAAAAAAAAAATTCACGTCGGACTGATATTAAAATCAGGTCAAAAATTCGTATATTTTAAACGAGTTGACATAATTTGGATAAGAATTCAATCTAACCTATTATAGACATATTTAACCTATTTATGATAGTATAGTTTGCCTATTATGTATGATTAATGTGATTTTAACATTATTATTTATTAATTTTTGTTTCTACTATGTTAATTAGGAATATAGTTCTTATTTAATTTTTAGGTTAAACCTTAAATGTATTTTAGTTACTTTTATTTGTGAGATGTGATATGTTATTTATAAAAAATTGTTTGAAATTTTGGGTAAATGATTGAATGGTGTATTTAATGGTAATAAATAGGTGTAGAAACAGGTTATGTGTGTTAAACAGATGATATTATATGTGTTAACCAAAAATAACATATTTATTAAACGTATCAAATAGATCGAGTTCGAGTAATCCGTTTAATAGTTAGGTCAAGTTAATGTTTACTCATCTCGACACGATTATTAAATATGTCAAGTTTGGATTTTGAGATTTTTAATACAAACTCAAAATTAAACGATAAGAAATGACCCGACCTGACACATTTGACACCCTAGCTAATGGTGGAGAATTAGTCGCATAAAATCTGAGTTGCTGACATATATGTTTGACTCTACTTAATTAGCTACATAAAACCCAGGCTACAGCAATACATGTGATTTAAGGGCGAGTGTGTGTCTTCAAAGTCGTGTTGTGGTCATGATGCGACAATCCAAGCGAATTCCACTCTTGCGACATGTTGAATGGGAATGTTGCTCAGTGCCCAGAATGACGCGTTTGGTAAAGATTCACCCTATCCGAAAAATGTTTCTTTTCGTGTTGGATTGGCTCCCCAGACAGGGATACTGGGGGTTTGGTGTTTGGACGAGGCTAAAGTTAAGAAATTGTACGGAATTGTATATAGCTATTTCGTTTTCTTCTTGTTGTATGGGTTTGCATTTTGTTTTGATTCATTTGCCGTTTCTATGCACATCCAGGTTCTGAGAACTTGACTCTGGTCACATTGTCTCTTCGGTTCAAAATTTATATCCAGTTTCAACAGTACTCCAATCATGGAAATAGTAACTCTGTACTTGTACATAAAATTACATATGTCACATCTTTTCGAGACTTGTAATGACAAACACCCACGTAACACACATGTAATGATTCGGGTTTTTTTGAGAGTAAAACTTGAGACCTTGAGTTGATAACCTTTAAAAAAATCTCTTCTGGGTCTCCCATTGGTTCCAACTCTCAGAGTTTCTCAAGTATGAAGAGACAGATGGTTACACTTCTGAGGTCCCAAGTTTGAAGTGTGAAAACCACACAAAATGACTTTGGGAGCATCCATGGAGCTACTAAAGGGTAGGAACCAAACTTTAATGATATGAAATTTTTTTTTCAGGTACTCAAGAAAGTTAATCAACTCCCATAAATCAATTCAATGGGTTGTTCTTGTGGTATCATATTATAATCGTAAAAAAGACAGCACAATACAAGAAACTTTTATCGTTATAAGGTCTGCGAGAGGTCTTACCTTCGTATAATTGTCTTCAATGAAAATACCAACTCCAATGTGTTGGTTATGCAGGTTACCTGCTTTAAGTCCATAGAACAAAAGTAACAACTAGCCAACTTACGCCATAGTTCTTTTAAAAGTATCTTAGAAATTAATATAGGTTTCAATATTTGATATATATATGATCAAACGAGATAGATGTTTGTGCTATACATATATATACCTAATTTTGAAACTCAATCCTGTCAATCGAGATTTTCAGTCAAAAATTTTGCAAGATTGTGCCATCGATTTTCTACAAATTGATGCACTTCAATTACCTAGCTTCGACCCCAAGGTGCTCTTTAATTTCATTGTAACTTAGGGTCAAAAGTTTTGGGACTGTAGCTTTCTCCGTCCCCCTTTCGTTGAGCCGTGCTTGTGTGGGGGTGCACCACCAGAAATCCAACTTGAAGCTCTCACCTAACAAACAAGCCAACAGTTGTTAACTTTTGGTCACTACTACTACCAAAAAGCTCCAATGAAGATTAATATTTCACGTGAAGGAGTGTGGATCCATATGTTTACTGATGGCTTATGTGCGACCTGTGGCTCATGCCTCCTATTTGTTTGGGGTGAGCGACATGAACTCTGATTCGATCCAGATATTCAATGCCGCGGTTGAGATGCTCAACTAGTAGCAAGTAAAAACAAGTCCACACACACACAATTCTTAAGAGAAAAAAAAAAAAAGTTTTGAACTCGCTCAGGGACGAATTATGATTATTACCCATTATTCAAAATACAGATTGCGCCAAAAAAAACAGGCATTTTGAAGTTTCAGTGCAACTTGATTGTGTCTTTTTGCAAGACCCTCCAAGGTCATAAAATGAATTAAGGTCGGAATTTTTGCCGGCAAGATTGGCAAGAGATCTCAATGCAAGTAGAATCTATCCGACGACTCGCTCTCTCCTTCATCTTCTCAGCTTTCTCAAAGTCTTCTCGAGCTCTCTCCCACACGTATCTAGCTCGGGCAAACTCCGATTGCGCCATCTCCATTTCCCGTCTGGTAAGCTCCCTCACGCGCTCTGCGTACGACTTCTCGACAGCAGCTAAGCGAATCTGCTCCGCCGCCTGCCATTTCAATGCCTCAACACAATCTGACGGCGGTTTCATTGGCCGGAGACTCATTGATAGTTGAAGGTCTACTGATGGCCCCTCCAATGGATCAATTGATCGGAATTTTATGGAAGAATCGGACGGCCAGGATGAAGCATGGGATGAAGAAGGCTGTGTTTGTGGAGGAGGGAGGAGTTGCAATTCTTTCTGATGTTGTTCCATGGAAGGCTACTGTGAAGGACAAGAGGAAGTTTGTAGGTGGGGAAGAGGGAGGTTTATAGTGGGTGGTGAGCGAGGTTTGTAGGGGGTGGTAGAACTAGTCTGTATATATAAGTTATATATACACACATGGTGTATTTCCTAAAATACCCATGCCTCCATGCAAAATTACTTAAGTAACTTGAATTTCGTGAAAATAATATATGAGCAATGCCCTACTTAGAATTAATTTATTAATATAATTTATTTATCTATTTAGTCATTGCCATTGGATTAATAGTGTATCTTAATATTGGATGGGACCGCTACTAATTCACTTGCTGCGATGGATTTAGTCAATAAATTAAGCAAGTAAATTATGATCAAAGAGTTATTAATAATAAACACGCCCTTCATTTCATTTTTTTTTTGTTGGTTTAACGATTAGGGATATACGGGTCAGCTTGTGTGCACTACGACTAATCTCTCTCAGGTCCAATCAAAAATAAGTCATTCATGTCAGGACTAGAGAGAACTCATGAGGGAAAAATTATTCATAGTTTGACCTTAAGAGGTTATCAAAATTTAAACTTAAAACATTTGAATATACAACTTGTCTCTTTTACCATTTGAACTTTGTCTAGGAGATGATTAAAAATATGGATATATTTTAGTAAAAATACAAAAACTTCAAATATGGGATCTTAAAAAAAATTAGTAAAATTATAGAAATATTGGGGAGCAAGTGAAAATTACACAAAATCAGTGGTAGAAATTTTTATTTTTAATACCTAATAAATTTCATATTTGAAAAAAAATAAGGGAAGAGTGATATTATTTGAAACTAAAAAAAAAAAAACACCTTATTGACCTAATGATATAATAGTTAACATAGTCTAACAAAATTGTTACATTTATAATTAGACTTGTTCAGTAAGATGTCAAATCATTAAGTCAGAATTTCGAGTAAATTTTCAAGACCAATAGCATTTTTCGTAGTAGTATGCTAATGAAAATTTCCAAATCTTTTAGAGGGTGTTTGGTCCATCTCTTAGATTCTTTTTATTTTTTTATTTTTTTTATTCAATGGTAAGAGTCTCTTAAATTCATCTTTGTTACATACTATAAATTTTTTGGGGGGAGGGATGTTATGGACGGAATGTGTGTGTGTGTGTATATATATATATATATATATATATATATATATATAGAGAGAGAGAGAGAGAGAATTATGGTATAAAAGAGCTTATTTTTACAATAACTTGAGTTAATTTATGATACATCCTTTTAAAGATACAATTACACTTGATTAGGGATATTTTAGGGTCGAGCACAAAAAAAAAAAAATTTGATCAATCTTAAAATATCCTCAATTAAGTGTAATTATATGAGTGTAATTTAATTTTTAAAAATTTATAATTTTGATGATCAATCATAATATTTTGGGATTGATGAAGCTATTAGTATTAATAATTATAATTTATACCCTAAAAAATTATAATTTAATTTTAAAATTATTATTTTTATTGCAATATTTCTATTGGTACCATAATCTTTCTCTTTTGCTTGTAATGAAGCATTTGTAATTTCATTGGCTTTATTTTTGATGGGCTCTGAAGGGGGGGGGGTGTACTTGGGGGTAATAATTACATTCGCACCTGCATTGGGTGGTTGGGTTAGAGGCCTTTTTTAGAAGGGAACTCACTTTATGGTAGGCCTAGGTTCTTGGCCCTACTAACCAAAAGGCTCTAAACTTTCTCTCCCTAAAGCCCACTTTAATTGAATTGGCACGTGCGAGCGCACAATAAAGAGGGTTGTTCAAATGGATGATTTATTTTTTACCAAGTCAGAGAAAAAAATAGTTGAATGTGCGTAAATTGAATCAAACATCTCTGACCATTAAAAAAAATGTTTAAGGGATTAGAATGGGCTCGACTTCAATTCAGACTTGATTTGATTTTAAAGTTTTAAAATAAATTGGCAAAAAACCAAATACAAATAGTTGGACTAGACTCGACTTAACTTGAATAAACTTTAAACTTGATCAGGTCGTACAGTTTTGGAAGTTTTTGTTTGGATTAATAATATTTTTGGACCTTAAAGTTTGTCTATTTTATCAATTTGATCCTTATTATTTTAATTTTATCAATTTAATCCCTAAAATTTTAATTTATGCCACTTTGCACCCTAATCAGACGAGTCGTTAAATTTTTTAACAGAAGTGATCATGTGTCATTCTTTCAAAAGGTATCACGTAACCAATACATGATCATTCTATCAAAAAATTTAACAGTTCGTCTGTGTATGGACCATTTAAACACAAATTGAATATTTTAGGAAACAAATTGATAAAATTAATATTTTAAGAACTAAATTAACAACATGTGCATACTTTAAAGACCAAAAGTATTATTAACTTTTTTGGTTCAGATATTGAACTTAAACTTGGACTCAAGTTCCATTCTAATACTTATAAATTTTTGTCGAGTCAAGCTTGAACAAGAAACTAAGTTCAATTATCGAGCTGCCCTCAAACTCGACCTCAATCCATCATAATCGAATCAAGCATAATGACAGGACTTTAGGCGGCTCAGCAACCCCCAGACCAACACTTGTAAAGAGGTAGCCGTTATGAAGCTCAAAAGATGCGAAGGAGTGGAGTCGAGGAAGAATGACTCGGAGGAGCTGAGTACATGTATTGACACCAACATTTAATACGACTTGACCACTCATTTATGACGATACGAGTGACTAAGACAGGGTTATTAATGAGCCCCTACTTCCTCGAGACCTAAGCTTGTAATCATGATGACTAAACATTAATGGCTATTACGCCGAGTATGCCTCCTCGGTGTACCCCGAGGTACTGTTCTCCAAGCATTGAACGCTCAGGACTTGGTGTCAAGTGCCGATCAGAGGAACTCGAGTGCCAGGGGATAGCCACAAGTGCTCAGCATGGCCCCAAGCACTTATCCTATCATCCTAGCATTAAAGATACGAAGATCTGAGTGGAGAACACTCATTGCACGGGGGTAAGAGTGTCAAGCATTAAATGTTTAGATGGAACTTTAGGCCTTTGCACTCATTACTAATCTAAGTATAAATACTACTCTAAAAAATGAACTAAGGTACGCAATACAAAACTGAGATAGAAAATATAATGCACTCAAGCCTCCAATCTTATACTGACTTAAGCTTCGGAGAGGATAAATCGGGTGCTCACTCGGCCCCTTGTCTGACCCTGTGGTTGTTTCAGGTTCACTATACGAAAGATCGTTGTCTCAATCTATTGCAGGAAATCTCCAGTGCAATTTGGAGTCGTCTATGGGAAGATTCACAAACTTTTTCCTGTAACGGTTACAGCATAGTGAACACGCAATCCTAGGGTGATGGGGTAGGGAGTTTACATGTGAGGAATGCGAAGGCTGTTCGACTCCCGGTAGTCACAGAATAAGGCCCCTTCGGTCAATTAAGCGAAGGCGAGCTTTCTCGGAACGAACGTTCCCCGTGGATCAAGGCCTTAGGGGGTAAGGCCTTTTGGTTCGTGATATCATTAAGTTGGTTGAGAATTGGATGGGCAAGCGCATCAAACAACTCTAGAAGGAAAACGCTAAGGTACGACGAGGTCTCGATGGTTTTGAGCAGTCAGGGAATGCTAGCTGGCGAAACGATAAACAGGAGAACCAAAACCTCAATCAAGGCGACCCTAGGGGTGTATGGCAAGAGACCCCCATGGGAAGAATACACAGACGCACAACCAAGAGATGTAACCCACGAAGCTGGGGAAATCCAACTCCCAAGGAGGGGTCGGAATAGGATTGCCATAAGGTGGGATTGTCCTGGTAGGATATTTGTCGTGAGCCACTAGAAGATACCGTGGGAGTCGAGTCCCATGTAGAGTCCATGGTGAGGAGGCCGAGAGAGGGAAAATCCCGAGCGGAGCCCTTAATGCACCACGACAGGTGCCAGAGACTTGACCCCGAGGAAGATAGGGACGAGCAAATCATTTCTCCATTCGTATGGGCGATCAAGGAGACCAAAATGCCAAAGAAGTTCACCGTCCCCCAATTCAAAGTTTATGATGGGAGGACGGATTTTGAGAGTCACCTGTGATAGTACAAGTAGTTGATGTCCATCTATGACACCGATCAAAGGGTACTATACCAAGTTTTTCCCACGAGTTTGGGGGACACTGCCATGAAATGGTACAAGAACTTGGCCTCTGAGAGCATCAAATCTAGGAGACAGATGACCGAGCTCTTTGTAGCTCAATTCATCACTAGTAGTAAGAGGCCGAAGGACATCGACGTTTTACTAATGCTTATACAGAGAGGCGAAGAGTCCCTCCGACACTATGTCATCCGATACTGGGAGGAGGTTAACGAGGTCGAGGCGTGCTCAGAGGCAATGATCACGGCATCATTTAGGTTGGGCTTGTCCCGGGACACCGACTTCTATAAATCACTTAATAAGAAGGCTCTAGGGGACATGAAAGACTTGATGGCCCCTATAAACAAGCACACCCAGGTGAAGGAAGAATCCGTTATGCCCAAGAATAGGGCCCCTATGCTGAGAAAGAAGGAGAAGGATCCGCCTGGAAGGAGAGGGGTACCCATGCCACCCTCAAGTTGCTTATCCTTCCAAATAGTGAACACGGTCTTCAAAGAGCCCATTTACAAGTTGTTACACAAGATAAAGAACAAACCCTACCTCAAATGGCCCCCCAAGATGCAAGGAGACCCGTCGATGAGGGACTCAACGTCCCGGTGTTCTTATCATAAAGACATTGGGCAATTGACAGAAGACTGCAAGGTGTATAAGTTCTTCCTCGAGTAACTGGTCCAAGAAGGGCATCTGGGAGAGTTCATTGATAAAAAGGCTCTCGGGGAACCGACTGGGAGAGGAGCCAAGGCGTCTCATGAAGTAACACATGTGATTGACGTTATACACACCTATATCATCGAAAGACTAACATACAACTCCCTCCGAGCCGAGTTGTGAAAGATCTCACAAACAATAAAGGTGGAGGAAAGCATGTGTGAGGGGCAATCATCCAAGAAGTTTTGGCAAGATGCCGAGGTCATTCACTTTTCTGACGCCGATTTAGGTGGGTTAGTGCTCCCTCATGAATACGCATTGGTGATCACCCTGC